CTTGCATTAAGGCTGGTCAAGGCAATCCATCATGAGAAACAGGTTCTCAAGTACCAGCCAAAGCATTATGGGCAGCCCCTGCTCCCATTGCTAGGATTCCTGCAAGTAGATCAAGCTACACATCTGTCTCATATATGTAGAGGGCCTAGGTTGGTTCCATGCAGGTTCCCTGGTTGTTGGTTTAGACTTGTGAGTTCCTATGAGTCAGGTTAGTTGTTTCTGTGGGTTTTCCTGTGATGTCCTTGACTCCTCTGGCTCCTACAATCCTTCCTCCTTCTCTTCAGCAGGATTCCCCAAGACTGGCCTAATATTTGGCTGTTGGTCTCTTCATTTGTTTCCATCAGTTACTAGATCAATACTCTCTGATGACAATCAGGGTAGTCACCAATCTGATCGCAGGAGATGGCCAGTTCAGGCTATCTATTCACTATTGCTAGGAGTTTTAGCTGGGAGTTTCCCTTGCCCCAGGTTTCTACCTTACCCTGAAATACTCCCCACTTTTCAGTCATCTCTTTCAGTACTCTCCCCACCCATCTATCTCCCAACCTGATGCCTCAAGTTCTATCCCCACCTGCCCCCAGTCCACCCAGGAGGTCTCCTCTATTTCCTCTTCCAAGGAAGATCCATTCATCCCTGCCCCTTGGGCCCTCCTTGTTATCTAGCCTCTGGGTCCATGAATTGTAGCATAATTATCCTTTACTTGACAACTAATATCCACTTATGAGTGAGAACATACCATGTTTGTCTTTCTGGGTCTGGATTACCTCACTCAGAATGATTTTTTTTTTCCTGAAAAAAACACCAGTAGCGCAGACAATAAGATTGACAATTAGTAAATGGGGCCTTATGAAACTGAAAAGCTTCTGCAAGGCAAAGGACACTGTCAATAGGACAGAAGGGCAACCTACAGAATGGGAAATGATCTTCACTAACCCCTCATCCATCACAGAGGACTAATCTCCAAAATATATAAAGAACTCCAGAAACTAGACATCAAAATACCAAATAATCCAAGTAAAAAATGGGGTACAGATCTTAACAGAGAATTCTCAACAGAAGAATCTCAAATGGCAGAGAAACACTTTAAGAAATGTTTAACATCCTTAGACGTCAGGGAAATGCAAATCAAAATGACTGAGAGTCTATCTTACACCTATCAGAACGAGTAAGATCAAAACCACAAATGACAGCTTATGCTGGAGGGGATGTGGAGTAAGGGGAACACTCCTCC